AAATAGTTCGACACGTCGAGCATTTTCTCTTTCAGATGGATAAAAACTAGAGATGGACACTCCCTGATTAATTTCTATTTAACTGGTTAAGTTCAGCTATTTTGCATTAACTCATTATTACCGATATTTTCTTCTGCAGAAAAGTAAATCAACACTTGGACTAAAACGGAAAATGTATTCGCTTTCATTTCGTTCGCTAGAGAACAACATATAATTCAGCTTTAGATTAAATTGAATTGTGCAACTGATAATAGAAAACGAAAATTTCTTCCATTCTGTAATTGAAACAAATTTTTGTCTTTCTTCTGAAAAATATTATTTCTCTTTAAGAGAAATTTTCCGCTGTAAAAGAAAAGAGAGAAATGAAAGAAGAGAAAATGATATTGAACTATATCTACGCGTAGAAAATAAATTCTATGCATAGGTTTTTCAACGCGTATAATACGTTCTACGCATTTCATTGTTTTTAACGGCTTCCCTAAAAGAGAGGCTTTTGATATGAAAAAGTTTAATGAAAATTTGACTTGTGCATGAATCGAACGACCACTGTTCGGAATATCAAGTTTGTTCACCTGGGAAAAGCATGAATACAAAAAGATATGAAAAGGCATGATGAGCGAGAAATTTTTATGGAATCCTGTGTGTGGAGGGGAGGAGAGAGGATAGAATCGGGGCTATTCAAAAGAAAGTGAGAAAGAAAACGATTTTCTGAGGCGGACCGCTCATCAAGTATTGCGTGATGCTGCTTCGTAATAACAAGAATTCAGTAACTTGGGATTTACTCCAAGCATGAGTATGCCATGTGCGATTATTATTTATTAATTCTTCAAACTGGAGTAGTCCAAATGAAAGCAATTCTTTTACAGCCAACAAGAATAGTATACCAATGTGAGAAAAACGACAAAATAAAGCGTTGTTGTGCACGCGAATTTTCGTCACACGTTATAACGCGTTATTTACCGTTATGTTATTAATGTGACGAAAGTTCTTGAATTCCGTAACAGAGTGTATTTCGACATTTTTTTGTGACCTTGTGAACGAATTTAAAAACCAGTTAGAGATTCTCAAAGCTGGTCGAAATCTGCACAACTCTAATTTGGAACATTCCTTAATATACCGTTACGGTATTCTACATTTTTTTTCTTGTGATTTTTCAAGCAAGAGACCTTTTAGCTTGGAAACTTAAACTTTTTTTAAGTCAGAACTTTTGTTTGTTTTGACTTTCTTCTCTACAAGTTAATTTTTCATGATTTTGTTGATTTTATTATCAATACCATATGCAAATCACATACAAATCATGAATGAAATATGGCAAACAGTAAAAGAGAAATTTTACTACAGGACGAAAATGTCATGTAACAGGTTAAATTATGAAAAGGAAACGCATTTTTTCTGAGTTGAGTACGCAGTTGAACTTCTAAAAAGATTCCGATGCAATGAAAGGGGAAAACTTCGAAGTTACCGCTGACTTTTAAATACCTTGGAATTCCGTAACGAAGTATTTTTAGATGTTCAACTTAAAAAAGAAAGAAAAATGAGATAAAATACAGTAGCTTCGATAGACCTTCACAAGATCTATCGAGGTGTGTGCTTTCTCAGACAAATAATTGTCTTTGACAGAGTAAAAAACATTATTACTGAATTTCATTACGGAATTTCACTTAGAAATCAGGAGTTTCTGAACGTGCTTTCTTGGCGCCGAGACTTCAGAACTTTGTAAAAGGGTCATATGCTGAAAGAGCAGCTCTTTTTCAATCGACAGATACCAAACAGAATTATTTTACCTCTGTTTGCTGCTTTTTTTCTTTCATTTTCCACACTGAGTCATTCGGCTCTTTTGCTCCAGCGACGCATAAGGACAGAATAACTCTGGCAATCTCCACTTGAAATTTGGAATGGATGTGACATCTGCCGTTCCTATACTATCGACCACGATCTTTTGAATGATTGACTTAGTTTTCTCTGTTTTAGAACTCGAATCCTCTGATTCGAAGGTGACCGTTAACTGGGTACGCCGATATCTATATGTTAAATTACGATCGTTGATTACTCACTAATTAAAAAGTGAACGCAATTGGAAACCTAAAATGATATAAATTTACTCGTTCCAAATTGCGATCACTTTTATATTAATTGGCTTAAATTTCGGCCGCAATTAGGAAGCTACGCAAACTTATATTTGGAGTAGAAAAGGCGAGACTAAAGAAACAAAAATATAAGGTTGATGGTTTAGCTGTGATTATGTTAGTTAAATTCAATAGATACGAATAGACAACACTATCTTGTGATATATTTTGCTAACCTACCAGAGCTCCGTATGGACTGGACTGGACTCAGATTTTTTGGATTTCATGGACTCGGACTGGACTGGACTAGACTTTTTTAGTCCATGGACTGGACTGGACTCAAAAATTTGAGTCCGTACGGAGCTCTGTAATCTACCCTTACCCTAAACAAGCACGAGCTCACTTACGTATTGGGATAATTTCACACTTGATTTCACCTGAATTACTAGTAATACTATAATTAACAGTGTATACGAATAATGTTAACTATTGTATTTGATTATTGTACCTGTTCAGTGATCTATTCTCAGTACATACTCAATATTTATTAGAGAATGCAATTATTTCTAGTATATCTATGTTTCTTCGAAGTAAAACAAACATATAAATTTCGATACATGCTTAATTTGTCGCTTAAAGAAACAGAATTTTGTATTCGTTCGGTTTACTAGTAGTGGCAAATAGAATGCTATAACTGACATACTATTGATGTGCATCTGTCAGATGATATTTGATCATTTGTGTGAGTGAAATGTGCTCTACAACGATACCATACCGTTCGTATTTGGTTTACTCCTAGCAACTGAAGTCAATGAGCGTAAGAACTTCAAACCGGTCTTGTATTTTTTTTTTTTTTTGTAACCAGATTTATCATTAATATGAGTTTATTTCGATTTTTATTTCAGATAATAGTCAAAATAAAATTGACATTATGTATATACACTATTAATTGTAGTATTACTAATAATTCAGGTGAAACAGTGTGAAACTACCCAAATACGTAAGGTAACTCATGTTTGTTTATTGTAAGGATAGGTTAGCAAATATATCATGAGATAGTGGTATGCATTCAGTTTGATTTAAGGCTCTGCTTGTTAAAAACCTATCTCGGTAACTAAAAGCTCGATCTCGACTCTGAAAGTGAGAATTTAATTCTGTATACCTTATATACCGAATTATAGTCTATATTCTTTGTATACGTTATATAGCAGACACGTACGCGGTTGAAGATGTGTGTGTTTTTCTTATTCCCATGTTAAATGAGACATTTCCAAAAACAGCGTCGGTATATTCAATTCTCAAAGTTTTATAGTCGAAGTAAAATCGAAAAACTAATACGTAACCTTGTCTGCAATTATTGGATAGGGTTAAGTAAAAGAACGCTTCACATACATGCAGAAAATCTGCACTTCTGCTAGATGCAAATATTTTGTTCTAAACTACGGTTGAAGTATTCCTTAAACTTTCTAATAAAATGCCAAATGTTTTTATGTAAAATACATGTGTAAAATTCGACTACTAAACTGAAAATAAAAATATAATCTTGAAGTGATTATATTTTAAGGTCTCCGCTTAAAAATTTCTGTCAATAATATCGATTTTAAGATAAGCGTATGGTCGAATAGCCGTTAGGCTACGTATGCACTTTCAGAGTCTATATTGCTTTCGGTCGTGGAACTGATTTTTCATGGTTTGTGAGCAAGTTTCTGGAAGCCGTGGAAAAGAGAATATTCAAATATTGTTTTTTTTCGGGATAGTTATGCAGTTAAACTTTTTTCTGAACGTGCAGATTTATAGGTGTACTGTTTTGATCAGAATGAGACATAAAGCAGCTGTGCGCAATCATGCGTGAGAAAAGTTACAAAGATTTTTCTACAAGCCTTAAAATGCACTATCCCAACGAATGCGCAGCAATTTCAGTTTTAGTCGGAGCTGTTTGTATTTCCCAAAATTCTCCGTCTATGAAAAGGCTGGAGAGTTCGGGTTGGTTTTTAATTGAAGCTAATACTTGTGTCTTAAACAGACGAAAGCCCGATTATCCAATTTCGATCTAGGTTTTGATAAAGCGACGGATTTGGGAAAAAGCCGACACAGGTTTTTAATATTTTTGATCTGGTTATACGCAGTATCAAATAACTTTAATCAAACATTGAATAAACGAAATAAATGAGATGATTAATGACTGCTTCTCCTTGTAAAAGCGAGCAGAATAGTTTTTGATGACTGATAACAAAATGATGAAAATTATTGTTTACATCAAGTTATTCAACCATAAAGGAGCTCTCACCTTCATTTGACATTTAGATGACGTAATAGAACGACGTTAATGTTTCAAAACTGCAAATTTCAAATATTTGTAGAAAATGACCACGGAAAATATTTCACACATATTTAAAATTGATAATCGTCGGCAATTCGAGAATACTGATCGGTCAGAACAGTTTATTTATACTAATGAACTACTACAAGATACTCAAACTAAATTTTCGGCCGTCGAACAAAGTCCATTCGAAGAGGTGGCTGCTATTGTACCTAATACTGACGATGAAACAATGGAATGTTCTACGTTTCGTTCATGGACTATCGGCCTCTTATTTACGATCATTATTAGTATTGTTAATCAATTTTTTTTCTTTCGTTTGAATCCATTGACAATCGGTTCTATTATTGTACAAGTTTTATCCTTGCCTCTCGGTAAAATAATGGCTAGATTTTTGCCAGCAAAGTATATTCGGATATGGAAATGGCAATTCTCGTTAAATCCTGGCCCGTTTAACACGAAAGAGCATACATTGATCACTGTCATGGCTAACACCGCATATGTAGGACAGTACGCAATGAATGTTATCGTAGTCTATCGTATTCATTATCGCCAAACGATGAATCATGCCATTGCTATTTTTTTCCTCATTTCATCGCAAGTTATAGGATATGGTCTAGCAGGTATGACTCTATTAAAATCCTTGTTAATTCATAATTTAAGATTTTCAACATTGTAGGTATGATGCGACGATTTCTAGTATGGCCAGCACCAATGATCTGGCCAAGTGTACTAGTAACATGTGCCTTTTTCCGTTCACTTCACGAATCGAAGTCCGAGGATCAATTGAATAATATATCGAAATGGAAAATGAGTCGGAGAAAGTTCTTCCTTATCATGACATTGTGTTCATTCACTTACTATTGGTTACCCGGTTACATTTTTCCCTTACTGAGCGCATTTTCATTTCTTTGTATGGTGAAACCACAAAGTAATGTTTTCTCACAAATAACTGGCACATACGGTCTTGGGATTGGCACGGTTCAGCTTGATTGGAATTCCATCACTGCATATCTGGGCTCACCTTTAGTCATACCAGCATCGTATCATGTCAACGTTTTTATAGGATTTGTGATAATGGCGTGGATCATAATTCCTATCGTCTATTATACAAATGTATGGGATGGGAAACGATATCCTCTGGCATCCTCGAACTTGTATACGACAGAGGGTTATATCTATGACGTTAATTCTGTTCTAGATAAACACTCTTATTTGAATGAAACTGCCTACATAAAACGAGGACCCGTACGGCTGGGTATTGTCTTTGCTATTACCTATGGAGCATCTTTTGCTGCTTTACCAGCAGCCATTGTTCATGTTGTATTGTGCTATGGAAAAGACATCTGGAGACAACTTACGATGTCGATAACAGAGGCCATGAATGAAATACACGCTAAGCTCATGGCTAAATATCCTGAGGTACCGGAGTGGTGGTATACAATATTATTTATCGTCAATTTTTTTCTCGCCTGTATCGTCTGTCATTTTGGTGATTTGATGCCTTGGTATTGGATGTTTTTGTGTGTTAGTATGGCTTTTGTATTATTACTCCCCGTTGGTATCATTCTAGCAACGAGTAATCAACAAATTGGTTTAAATATCGTAACCGAATTCATTGCTGGTTTTGCGATGGCGGGATATCCTATTCAGAACGTCACATTCAAAACGTACGGTTACATCACTCAAAGTCAAGCACTATTATACCTTCAAGATTTAAAATTAGGCCATTATATGAAAATTCCACCACGTCGAATGCTTTTCGCACAAGTGATTGCTACTATTATCAGTTCTGTCGTATCGTACATAGTCGCTAATTATTTAATAATTCATATTAAAAACATCTGTACGGAGCTAGATGTCCAGTGGAGCTGTCCCAATATAGAAATTTTTTACTCAGCATCTGTTTTGTGGGGAGCTGTTGGGCCTACAAGGATGTTTGTCAAAAACGATGTATCCTACTATAATTTACTCTGGTTCTTTCCTCTAGGCGCAGTCTTACCAGCAATTCCGTGGTTATTAATCAAAAGATTTCCTAAACAAACATGGTTACGTTTGATTCACACACCCATAATATGGTCGGCATTGTCTGTTTTTGTTCCAGCTCCAGCCGGTAATTATTGCACGTGGTTTTTCGTGGGTATTTTGTTTAATTTTATTGTACGTAAATATGACCACGATTGGTGGGAGAGATATGTCTTCGTCTTGTCATCAGCACTAGACTGTGGTGTAGCGTTTAGTGCTCTAGTCATATTTATAGCACTTCAGAATCAAAATATCAATTTCCCAATTTGGTGGGGATCAGGAGGTAATTATGGAGATGGCTGTCCATTGTCGCATGCAAACTACTCAGGCGTTATACCACATTATCCATCCTCATAAAGCAATCAATATTTTTGCCCGGCAATTGCTTAGTGGCAAATCAGTATGTATGAAATTCAAGTTGAGGAAATAAATGACACTTTCGATGAACAGGCTTGTTTATCTTGTTGTATTGTGTGATATTTTTCTTATTTTTTCATTAAAACCTAGTGAAAAAACGACATTTTAGACTAGCGGCTGTATCCCGTATTGTCGATCTAAATTAAATCACTTGACTGAATATCTTCCCGCTCGTCATTAATTGAATGCTGGAAATCATCGTTGGCATATGTTAATTTATCTTCAATGCATTCAATTTTTCGAATACTCTCCTTATTATGTAGCAAGAAATAAGATTAAATTGGATCAGAGACGTAATAATTCGATGCATCAATGTATTTCGGATATTATAATGCGTCGAAATTGTCTACTACTTGTGGTTTCGCAGGATCCTTTGAGCAACGTGTCCTCCGCAGGTGACGTGCCGCAAGACGTGGAGTTTGACTGAAGAGCAATCTACAGAAGGAGGAAAGGTTTCGTTCACATATATAATCGTGATCATCTTGGAGAGCAGATTTTCTACGACAGTCTTTTTAGATTTGACTACACTATGTTTTACTCAGATTTTTCGTCGAGAACATCATGCAAACAGTTTCTGGAGCTTTTCTCCATCATACTGTAATTGTAACACATCCAGAATGACCGAAGGAAATAATTCCGCCTTTACAACAATGAAAGTGGGAAATGTATCTTTTCCTACTCTCTCACTCACTGAAACTGCAATGTGCTTACTTTGTACATTACTTAACTATTTTTCTAATTGTACTTTGAGAAAGTCAGAAAAATCAGATGTAAACTGCATAAATCCCATCTGGTGTTACATTTAAACAAGCTTTAGTTTTCTTGTAATTTCCATGTTTTTTTTACTGATACACTGTTCCACAGATCTCGATGAGCTCTATCTGATAGTATGTGTTTTAACTCATTCATACACAAATTTAGGCCTGATTGCAGCCAAAATATGAAATATTGCTTTGTTTAGCGTTTTCTAGTCTCAAAGTAACGATCAATACATCCCGAAGTCTTATAAAAGGAAAAAATGGTAAAAGAGCGAAAGCCAAATGTTGGATAGTTTGAGAAATATCAGAAAACTCGCTGGACATTTAGTATGAAAATAGCCATTTTTAAAAATGTTTTGTTCCTCTCTAACGAAAGACATAATTAAATTAATTTCTGTTTTTTATCAATATGTTACTCTAACTGTCAGCTATCTTTTCCATATTTTCGATAAAGTCTAAATCAACTCTGCGCTGAGCTATATTGCGCTGATCTTAGAGAGACAAAAAAACACTGTTTAGTCTGCGACGCCGTTGTTAGTATGAATTTATCGAGAAACGGTGTATGAATTTGGAATTCATTCACATATTTTAAAAGTAGCATGTATCCACTACAATTTATTTACAAAGAGCAAGTTGAGATGTAATTTTATTTAAATAAAAAACTGATGGCATTGTTGCTGGATGTCAGTTAAAATCATCCTTTTCATATCAAGTTGCTAATAACTTGATAACCACTTGTACCTTTGAGTTAAGGTTTTCGATGGTAGTGAACCTAGTTTAAATAAATAACATATACAAATTTCATTAAGATTCATTAACTAATAAAAAAAGTTATAGCTTTTTTACATGTTGGATATGAATGGTACAACGACAGCGCAAATCATTCATAAATATATATTTTGCTTTTTATCAACGTTTTCTCTACTTCTTGTTCACGTCATAACAAGTCGTATACTTTCAGTGATTCTTCCTCCTTTTCCTCTTCATTTTCTGCTAGTTCTTCTTTTGTTACTTCTTCTTCATGTTCACCTAAAAAGACTTGTACGGTTTTTTCGCATACTTTAACTGCGCTCATAAAATGTTCACAAACAAATCATATTGATTTAATTTGATATAAATATCGCCTATCTTTTCATGTTAAGCTGCCATTTTTTTCTTTGCCACTTCTATCCCTATCTTCTTTGCCTAACGAGATTTGTGCAACTTCCATGTCTACTTTAATGACGTTCATATAATATTCATTAGCCAAAACATTTTGATTTAGTGTTAAATATAAATTAGCTATCTTGCTGCGAACAGCCGCAATTTCGTCCTTGTCTTTCTCTTTGTAGTCTCGCGATGACAAAACTTCTAAGTTTATTTTACAATCCAATTTTTCTCATACTTTGTTGATTAGCCATTTGATTATAGAAAGAATCACTAAAAGTATACGATGGCTAATCAAATACAAATCAATGGCACACATGCACAATTTTGATGAGACCGATCGTCTTTACCATAAGAAAGTATTAATGATACAAAGTGATCTAGCTGTTACATCAGATTGATTTAAAGCAGCGTAAGTACTAGCTAATTCAATGTGATTCTTAACAATATTTATTTTCTTAATAATAATGCAATTGACCGATCCGCTGCTATCTGTAACTGCATTTTCTTTCAACTTATACTGATGTTGTACCAACTGATATTCAAGCTCTAATTTATAATCATCATTCTGTTTAATTAAGATTTTACTAACATCACGAGGAAGATTAATAATTAAATGCAAGCTGCGTAGATTAAATTCTTGTTGTAGATAAATTTTTGAGCTTTTTTTATAATTAATTAAAGCCTTATCACAACCAGTTATAAGATTGGTCTACTTCTTCAATACGTTTGTCAGAAAATTTATCAGCGCTTGAATA